ATGCAGCATGGTCATGGTGGATGATGAAAGGAATTATGCTATCAGGAATGGCCTGACGTAATCTTGCTCTAGTTTTGTTTTTCTTATTAATGACGTATAGAGTTTTTATTTTTTTTTTAAAAAAAATTGGATACAGTATGGGTTTACTTTGTGTAAGAATCCTCCACACTTTTCTTTGCCCTTCAACTTGTCGGCCAATAAGTCCTTTTTTTTTTTTTTAAAACCTTCTTCAGAGTGGGATTGCCGTCTTCTCTCCTGATAAATTCTCAGGCCAATGGCATTTGACGACACAGACTTCTAAATTCTAATTCCATTAGGAAAAGTACAGGCTAAAATAGCAGGTAGTCGGACAAGATTCTTCCAGATTAGGTCAAGGATTTGGTATCCAATGCCCTCCAAATTTGAAAGATTGAACAACGACCGGATGCAGAACCCAGAATCAAGACGCGAAAAAGAAAAATTATAGCTGGTTTTAGACCCGATTTTCGATAAGTCATAACCACTGCAAAATTTGCATGAGTTGAAATACCCCACATCTATAAATGCGATCAGAAATAGAATAAGATTTCGGTATCGATATTGTTACTTAAATAGAAAGCAGTAAAATGAATTAACTCACTTGATGTGGACGCCTCCTTTGAAGTTGTAACGTGTAACATTCTTACGAACCCACTGTTTGGCCCGATCATAGTTATTCATGGCAGCAAGCTGATTGTTGGGAATGGCGACCATGACTTCAATGTTAGTCCCAGCCAGAGCACTCATGGTGGACTCATCTGCATCGAACAATTTCACTTTCCGAATTCCATTGTCCTTCAGCATCTGAATCACCGTGTCTGGCGGCAATTTATGCGTTGCCTGAGTTCCCCAATTCACCCCAAGCCCTTCAACATACCAACTCATGATCCCCACCACCACAATCCACCTCAATATCCAAAATTTCCCCATTCTCCAGAATGTTCTTGCCAGATAGATGCCAACAATTTTTCCAGGACGAGATGACCAGGAAAAAAAAACAAGAGAAAAATAAGCGATTCTAGTATTGGCTTCTATAAACAAGCGACGAGTGAGAAAAAATGATCACAGAGATGATTAAGAATCAATATAGAAGTTCAGTTCTTTAACCAATCACTGATAGAAAGATACATGACCCAACAGAAACCGGGGACGAGAAACAGAGGGGCAGAGTGACTTGGATAAAAAAGAAACAGTCGGGCAAGCAAGAGCTTGTTCTTCTTTATGGGAAGAGGAGACGGGGGGGGGGGAGGGGGAGAGAGAGAGTGAGTGAGTGAAGGCAGAAGGAGGGAGAGAAATGAAAATCAGAAGAATCAAGAAACTTGCGAAGGGGAAGATGAAGAATGAAGATAGAGATTGTGAAAATTCTTCAGGGGGCAAGGACAAATACCCCCATGAGCAAATGACGAATGGAGGCCCAGTGTTATTTTTATTTTGAATTGAATCAATGGGATGGAGGGACCCAAATCGAATCGAGGATCACTCAAGGTAAGCGCAACGGCTACAATTAAACATGGTTTTGCGTTTGAGGAGCTTGTGAAGAAGCAGTACGGGAGGTCAAAATTTTTATTTTTTTAAAAAGGGAATGAACCTGAAAAAAAAAAACAGAGAGAGAGAGAACTAAGCATGGAAGTTGGTGCAGGGGCCGCGGATTTCTGAGTGGGAAAGTAGCTTTAGGTCGATTCTGTTTTGATTAGTTCGAGAAAAAGGACTCCGGCCAGTTTGTCATTTACTGGGTTGCGAAGTGAACGATGATCTTGGGTGATTCAGGGCAAAACAAGAAAAAAAGAAAAAGAAAGATGATCTTGGTGATTACTGTATTATGGAGTACTGGTTAATTAATTAATTAATTAATTAATTATTATCATATTGAAGTGGATGGTAACGTGGCGCGTTTGGATCTATCTGACCGAAGGCGAACGTTAATCAATGCAAAAGGGGGCATCATTTGACTTGTTTCTGAGAGATGTTTCGTTTAAATTAAGCCTGCAACTCTTTTGGGGGTCACTGGCCGGTGACCCCATCTGCTGGACTCGCGCGATGCTATGATAATAAACACTTGGTGGGCATTATCAAAAGATGCTGCCTTTGTATCTAAATTGATTTAGTTTTTTAACATACCAAACGACATAAAAGATAATATATTTTTATTTTTAGTTTTTTTGAGATTTTTATGTTATACTACTTCCGGTCCTAATTATAAGAGCTAGTTGACTAATTTGAAGAGATTAAAAAAAAAGTTAATTAGTTATTTGTTATAAATAGATGTTGTCTTTCCTAAAATATCTTTGCTAATCAAGTATATTGGCTAGAACTACCATTACTAAAAAGACTACCTTAGAAAAAATACATAAATATAGGAGACAAAATGAATTGAGATCTTATATTTAATATTAAAATAAAAATAAAATAAGATCTTATATTAAGTACAAGAGGTAGTATAACATTTTGTATCCTGAGCGACATGTAAATATGGAGTTGGGGGTACCAACATGGACGGCGGTGGATTTGCAACCACAAGGCAGAGAAGCATGTGCTTGTCTGTCCAATGCCCACTTCTCACTTTCCAATAACTTCACTTGTGTTCTTCCTAACAAAGCTGTGTCTAAATTTAAGAGGGAACCGCAATACTCTCAGCTACCAAAAAACAAAAACGTTTTCTTTCCATTGTTTTAGAACGTATTGATTTTTTATTATGTTTTTATAAATGTTCCTTCATTTTTTAATGGACTCTTTTTTTTTTTTTTTACTGAAAAGCATAAGTTTAGTTGCTCCATGCACATTTTATCAGCTCTGAATCGGCAATCCACAACACGTTCAGAGCATAAAATATGAGCTTCATCTGATTTGCCGGTTGAAATTGAAAAAAAGTATGAGAGATCTTGATCGCTGGAATTTGTTTCCTGGTGTTTTTGGCTCTAAGAAGAAGAATAAATGGAGGGTTTTGTCCAGTCCCCTTTATAATGTTTTTGTAATTAACAGCCTGTTTGTAAGAAAGAAAATTAATATGGATACTAGGAACTGAGTAGCCGAGATGCTTTGAAGATAATAAAAGCTGAGAACTACATTTTTATATAAGAAGGGCATGTGGGATCGAATCCAAGTCATGCATCCTTCCACAAGGTTTTAATAAATGACTATCGGCTTGCCTTGTCCACAAGAATATGATCATTTAAAAAAATGATTTCACTTTTCTAATTTTTATATGTTGAAATTGATCGGAATGAGCCTTTCAACTAAACTTTAAAAAATATATATTTGATTTGATTTTTTTCCCTTTTATTATAAACCCTTTGCAGTTTTCACTCGTGGACAATCTTCCCAACGACAACGTGTTGTAATTATTTATTTACTTTTATTATTTCAACTACAGAGGGTAGGATGATAATATGTATTTGGGTGGGCAATCAACCTCTGACTTTGAAGAGAGTGGTGAATTTAACTTTCACTGATGCATCGATCAAGCACTGAGAAAGGCAATCATTGAGATGAAAGACTGGTAATTTATTTGAGCCTCTGCTTTCAAAGAGGTAATGAGAAGGCCTCAAAACATGAAGATAAGATTTTCTGTAGCACCTAGCCCTGCATTTCAATTTCAACCAAGAAAAGTAGCTGATCAATCTCCAAACAAGAATCATATTATTGGGGAATTGGGTGGCCGCTATAGCAGCGGACCCACACCACACGGCTGAGCCTCATAAAATAATTGGACCAAAAAAATAAATAAGCCACAGCGTGAAGCCGTGAAATTTGCAATCCGTTTGTACACATCCACCACATCATTTGGCCCTCCTTGGTTATTAAGCTTCATATGAAAACAACAATGGGGACCCGCGAATTTTCAATGAAGAGGGGTCCAACTTTTCGTGTATCAAAAGAACACTGCCAACGACACCAACCGTCGCCGGTGAAAAATACCGAACACATGTTAAGCTTTAATCATTCGCTATCAACATCACTTGGTTTGAAATCAAGGAGGCATGCGCCAGAACACGAAAGCAGGAGAATCAACGAGGTTAAAGGGAGTGCGACAATGAATGAATCTTCACATACGTTTTGAGAGGGAAAAGCATCATAATCTAACACGCAATCGATAAAAAAAAATTCGCTAAACAGAATGCTTATGCAGTTACAGACATAACCTAAGTTTAGTCTCCCCAGAGCACAGCCACTACATCCGGGCGACGGGATTTCTCACAATCACGACCGACAAGGAAGATCAGATGACTTGGGTAACATTTAGTACGGAAAAAAGTATTTTCATAAAAAAATACACTTTCTTTATAAAAAAAAAAAAATGGAATAGGTGAACGATCCATTTCCAATGCCTTTTTCTGTTCCAAATGTATCAAGACTGTGTTGCTCTGACCCGAAAAAGCTGACCTGATGTCTTTTAAAAGCACTTCGCAAACCCATCAATAACTGAGACCCTACAATACACGATATCTTGTCCCAGCATGTACTTTCTGATAGCAGATACCTCTCATTTAATTAGTTCATTTATTCCTTGGTTTTGGCGCCACCTCATGCCATTCTTGATAACTTACTGACACCCGGATCTGGATGTCGTTGATTAATGTAAGAAAAATGTTCGGAGACATGTACAACGATCAACTTTTTTTTCCCTTCATATATTGTTTATTTTGAATCAGGCGATACTGGTTCATCTGATAAACAATACTTGACAGCGAAAACAAGACACCAAAGGCATCCATCGTCTACAAATCTTCTATACACTAAGCTCGTCTTCAAGATAATTATACTCAAAAGTGAACTCGGTCTTGATTCTTTGACACCTGAACAACGACAAAGTGCAGATAAGTTGTGAGAACAGTGGCACAGTTTACATTCATGGACTGGACAAGAGAAGCAAAATCTCAATCCAAACGGTCAGATTCTTTCACAGGCCCAGATATGTTTCCGGACTAGTGAGTCGTGCATAACCAAAAAAAGGGCAATAACTGCCTCAGTATCCAAAGAATGGGAAAAAATCAATGATATGAAATGAATGAACCCCATGGGTAAAGAACAACAGAGCCGAGTGCTTATCATGATACAGAACATAGTCACAAGATATCATGAACCAAGCCAACAATTCAACAGATCAAATATCAGATTTTAATCCGCCCAAAAAAAATAGCCCTCAGACATGAAATGATCAACCGATAAGAATAATAGAGAATATGAAGTTGACGTGATACTGTACTAATATTCTCCTGCAGGAACTGGACAAGCTAACATCATAGTCACTATAACAGGTTTACAGTGAAAGAATAAAACCAATTTTCCCCCTTCTTTTCGGCCAAAAGAAAATTTCAGGCTCTTTGAACATTAGTCCTTTGAAGGTAGTTATCATAGCCTTGCAGGCCAGGCTTTACTACATCTCACCGTGAAGAACTTCTAATTTTATGCCGAAGGCAACATGATACTCAATTATTGAAAATTTTCCTAAATCTAAGAATATGTTAATATCAGAAATTTGACTCATAATAAATTATCAAAACACTAGTTAAACTTAAAAAGTCGGACATAGTGGTCAACATCAGTGCACACATATATATATGCGATAATCATGAATGTAAACTAAGCGATAAAAAAAAAAAGTTGATTAAGCATACCATCCATGTTGCAGGTCATCATTTGCGATATGAAAATCGAAGTATACATATGTTCCCTGCTCAAATTCATCTGTAGCGACTTTTGGCTCTTCATGTCTCTGAAACCATGTGTTATATTTTCTGTGATATCTCCAAGACTGCTTCTTTAGTTCTTTCGCAGCCAAATATTGTTGATAAGTGTTCTGCAAAAGGTAACAAATATAATTTTAACCTCACAGGATTGAGTGAAGTAAAAGCGCTCATGCCACAGAAAGTTCCAAGTACCTGTTGATAATAAAATGCAAAGAACAGGGTGTCAGTGCCATATGGTTCAAGACCTACTCTCTCCCAAAAGGCTGGATTACTGACAATGGGGGCTTGTACTTGAGGATAACTTGGAGGTGTTATTGCTGGGTGCTTCTGCAGAAAAAGATAAGTAACATTCATCATGTGACCATATCATAAATCTATACAACATGTGGAAGAATATAAATAAAGATCATACAGGAGTATAAATCCTTGGACGTTCTGAGTCTTTAGGTTGTGGAAGTTTGTAGTAAGCTGCCTCAAGCATCTGCATATTAAGTACATGGTCACGCCCTCCACCAGAATTGACATTTGTTCCGCTAAGACTATCACCAATGGCTCCAAAATCGGCAACACTTCTTCTTCCAATAACACCAAGGTTACCAGAAGGTTGATTGGGTTGTAAAGGTTGGCCAGGAGAGAAATCAGTATCTCTGGAGCCCTGAGCAGGCTCGGTAAGAGAACCAGACACTCCTGCCTGCTGCATAAAAGAAATATTGCCAACTCAAATCAACATTCTTTTAATTTAATAGATCATTTATATAAATATAAACTTCTGAGTTCTCTCAATCATGTGTAGACAAGAACAAAATAGATTTTTTTAACTTGCATGCAAAGTAGGACTAAGTCGAAGTTATATAAATATAAACTTCTGAGTTCTCTCAATCATGTGTAGACAAGAACAAAATAGATTTTTTTAACTTGCATGCAAAGTAGGACTAAGTCGAAGTTCAACATGAACCGCACTACAATTAATATTCAGTGGGTCATATGCCTTGCGTCTTCCAACAAAACAGCGTAAAAAAAGAACACATGCTAGCAAGTTTCAACATGGACCCTTACTTAACTTCAACAGTCATCACATATTTCTAAATTACAGTATGCTACCCTGGCAGGTATGCCATGGATCAGGATTGCAACTGAAGTCTAGCTCATTTCTATGTACGATGGTGTGCCCAATCCAAAGGCTAACCTAGCCAATCAACAGTCCACCTAGAGCTTGAAAACCAGTAGTTATTAAATACCAAATCTGATGCACTGCTAGCATTGCTCTGTAAGAAGGCAAAAAAAAAAAATATATATATATATATATATATTGCAGGAAGAATGAATAGCAAGAACATTCACAAACTGCATATAATTGAATAAAATAACAAGCCTAGAAGAGTTTGTCAACTCACAGGAGAATCTACAGCATATGTGGATTTTAAATCCTCTTCATTTAGAAGATTCTTGCCAAGCCCATTACTGGCAGTAGATTCAGACACTGAATCATCAGGAGTACTCTGTTGTTGCTGATGTTCTTCAGCTTTAGAATTGCCATCTGCAAAATCCAATATATTATGCAAATTAGAATCCTAGACAATTAGTAATGCCAGGTCCAGCCAGAACATTATGCAAATTACATTTACTGCTCTACTAGTATGCTTTTATTCTCCTTGACTACGTAGACTAAAATGACCCCAAAAAAAAAAAAACTAAACAGAATTATATTGACACTAAACAATGCAAAATTAATACAATTGCCTTCTATATTGATATCAAAACAGGATTGGGAAGAGAAAAAAAAACCTTAGCTGTAAGAATTAGGCAGGGTGATCAAGAATATCCAGGAGATAACCATACTACAATAAGTACTCTCTCATTCCCAAGAGAAAAAGAGAAAAAATATTGAAATGACAGAAAAATAAGGAGATACTGATCCATCTTCAGAGTGGGCGGAAAATTCAAGAAGTCAAGATAACATTGATCATGGCGAACATACCAGAATCTTGAGAAACACTTGATATCATTGGCTGTTGGCTAGATGGAGAAAGGATAGAATTGGATGGCTGCTGTAACGAGGTGGATGAAATGCCACTGAGCCCTGATGCCTGGACTCCAAAGCAGATCAGAATGAGAAGAAACAGATGAGCTTTAAGAGTGAAAGTGGACATTTAGTAGCACATATGGCAAACCACAATTTTCGTGCATGAATTGATATCTTACTCCAAGCAAACAGGATTCTTAGCTCATTTCTTTTCCCTTTTTGAAATGGGGAACTTGGAAGTAGGGGCCTCTACCTAAATCTCCAACCACCCCAAAAACCTAAAGCTAAGTGCAGATTACTAATGCATTAGAATAACCCAAACCATAGAGGGGTAAATTATCCAATCTATAGATAAAAAGTAATTAATAAAATCAGAACAATATTCCATTTCCCACAGAAACAAGGACAAAAGTTTGATATGGCCAGTTGGGATAAAATCCAGGTCCATAATGTTTTTATAGTGAAGGAAAAACTTGGTTCCATGATCAAACAATTAAAGAGAGATGAAGATCGAAAAATACAACAGTTAGCTTGAAAAGACATGGTATGGAGCGGCACAAAAGTATAAGATGATGCAGGGTGGGCTTTACTCCTATATTGAAAGCAAAATAACTAATAAAGAGAACAGTGGCCAAACTTAAGGTGCAACAAAGGTACCTGCTGCAAGAGAGGATTTTGCTGCTGAGCAGAAAACTGCTTATGACTTCCACCAGCGAGAGAAGGCATACCAAGAAGGGTACTATGACCTTGTTGCTGCACTTGCTGAAACTTCTGCAGAAACTTTTCTCTCTGATCAGGTGCTATTTCAGTTCTTCCACGAAGCTGCCCCTAAAAATGAAATCAAATTTGCGTCTTCAACCACATAGCTTAAACATACAGAACAAGAAACTACGCAAGATGTTCCAATTACAGTGATCTAATTCAATTACTTTTCATTTCACAGACATTTCAATGTATATCTATGCATGTAATTGCACATAATTTAACCCAACAATCAACATCCGAAGAAAAAGAAAAAGTAAATACATATATATAGCAAAATAACTTGGAAGCAATATGGATGTCAATGAACAAATAGATTTATAAACCAGTAATAAAAAAAAAAAGCATGATAGTTTACTTAATTTGTCAGATGCAATCAGCCAACAATTCAAATTGTATTCTGCATCTCTGAATGACATGAATACCGAACAGAAAAATAAAAAAGATAAAAATATCACCGTCTCATTTTGGTTCTGGAAAGGACTTCCGGGCCTCCACTGCATACCAGGAACACCAGAAGGGGAAAAAACTCTCCCAGATACAGCTGCAGCCTCATTAACACTATTAGGGTCAACTGAACCAGTTCCATCATTAGCCTTCACAGCCTGAGGCAACATCATTCTATTGCTTAGGGGTGACAGAAGAGGCTGCCCAATCCCGCTACTTCCAAGCCTGTCATCAGCTCCCAATAAGTTTCTCTTCGTTATTTCAGAGGCTGAAGGGACTGAACCAAGAGCCCCATTGCTGGACACAATGTTGCTGGAAGCAAGAGGGATGCCAGATGTCACTTGATTTGGTAGGCTGTTTCTACTTATGCCTCTTGCATGCGCAGCATCAGAAAGCGATGGAGATGCTCTCCGGCCAGGGAAGCCATTAACCTCATCTTCTTTCACAGAGGTAGACTGATTTACAGATGTAGAATTAGGAACACTAGTATTCTCCAGAGCAGTCCGAACAGAACTTGAACTGGGGAGGACCGATGCTGCAGCAGTCACACCAGCCAAGTTCTGAGATGAAACATTCAAAGAGACAGGAGTAGAATGGTTTCCAGCTGGTGTTGACACAGCAGAACTGATACCACTACTTTTGGGAGGTGGCGTTCTGACAACAGTATCAGAATTGCTATCTTGGGAAGCAGCGTCATCAGCCTGTTCCTGGATAGAATCATTCTAGTCATGATTCGATATAATACTTGGCTAGAAAAAATAAATGAGTGTCCTTTTCTACTTAAGCAAAACCTAACAAGGACGTAGGTCTTTCTCTCTCTCTCTCTCTCTACTTATACAGATAATCAAGTAACTTAGAGAGACGTGCTCAGAGGATCTATAATCATGACTCGTCCTCCACTGTCATTCTAACAAGGAGGTAAGGTACCATAGATCAATATGTCAACACGGAACAAGAACAAAGCATCAAGACAAAACCAACTGAATTCAAGCAGAAAGCAAACCAGACATCATATCTTTATAGCTGCAAAAAGTTTCAAATTAGAACAAAACATAGAGAAGCTCAAACATATGGCAGGCAGCAAAATGCATAATCACATAGGACGATCTCATATATTTGTTAGAGATCCTAGTCACAAAACCTTTTCTCTTTTCTTCTCCTTGACTAGGCCAATACTTGAGAGAACAGTTAGACAAATATTGAAAGAGAAACCTGAAGCAATAAAATAACTGAAAACAAATTATTTGAAGTGTCAGAAACCAATAACTTCCGTCTTCAAGTTGAACCATGTTTACGATGGAAACATTGGATAATACCAAACTGTTCTGCATATGACAGAAGAAAAAGGTCCCTTTCATGCAACTATTATCAGTAAAATAAATGCAGAACAAACAGAGAATCACAATGAACTATAATTCGTGACTAACAAGGGCAAACTCATTTAACTACCACTCAACAGATTTCCCAACTATTTGGATTCAAATGCAAAAATGCTTACCCAAAAGTAATCAGAAACTGCCCAATGCATTATCTAACCACGACGTCAATAGTGGAATGAAACTAAACCCATTTATAAAATGAAATATCGGAGACAGAGGAGAATCAAGGCCACGGAAGAAGAAAAATGGGGGAGAAGAGCCTAAGCGTAACATACGATTCATGAAACAATATATCATCAAATGGCTTCAATTTTCAAATATGCTGACTTAATAAATTTCATGTCATTGATAGAAGAAACACATACAGATGTTTGCGAAGCCGATCCAGCTACAGACGTCTTCAAGCTAAGACCAAGTGCACCCTGCCAAAATACAGCATAAATTCATATTTTTGTATATTGGCAGAAAATATGAATTTCAACATTTAAAAAGGGGTCTAGGATGTTAATAGCCAACATAAACATGCACTAAATGTATTTTGACAAGACACCTATCACCATAAGAAAATCTAATATCCAAAAAAAATGCATGAGCAATTTGATTGGGTAAGCAAATACCTTAGCAACACCAGGCGGACCAATTGTGACAAGATCTTCGAGAGACTCCACCTTGTCTAAAGGTAATGAACTATATAGATCATCGACATCATTGAATTCATCAAAGTCCTCCTGCGTACAAATAAGAAAGTTAAGAGGAACAGGAAAAATAAGCAGAAAGACATAAAGTTTGCATAGTATTATGCTTTAGTACGCAAAACTCTGTTCAGGAGAAAGCATGAAAAATATCTTGAATTTATCATGCAGATATAATAATGAGTTCAAATTTTAAAAAACAAACCTGATTACGCTCCACATAGTCTTCCAAGAAATCTTTGACATCATTAACTTGCTCAGGACTTAATTCATCGTTGTCTAGCAGCCTCAACAGTAACTCACATTTCTTTATATGAGCCTTGTGTCGGGTAATTGACATTTCTAGATGCGTCTGGAAAACAAACGTAACATGTGAGCAGCCAGAGAAAGGTAAACCATCTGTCCCACAAAATGAACGTCCTATGTTTACTTCATAATCATACCAATCTAGGTGGTCTGCTTTTCCCCTTTTTGACAGAAAGCCCTTCAAGCTCAGCTTCAAAGTTATCAATTTGAGACTCTAACTCTCCGACCTACTCATGTTTTAAAAGGTGTTAATTAATTCTTCCAAATAATGATGCATATAACAATAAACATTTGTTTGCTTAAATTATATTAATATGAACTGCTTGACAATGCATCATTACAAGATGCCGCAACAAGAATCACAAGAGAAATAAGCACCAGATTTGACTGCACAGTAATTACTGGAGAAACAAATCTAAGAAACCAGCTTAGAGATTGCAGTTGGTTAAATGATCTCGGGACAAGTTTTAGTATGTTGCAATAACCAAGGGATACAGCAAAGCTGACCATTGCAACAGCCAACACTATAGAACTATAGAGTAATGTGAACAAATTACTAATGCAACGAAATATTCACTATACTTTGAGCAAAATATAAAAGGGCTGAATTTTGTGTAAAGAAATCGCATACCACATTATTCAACCAATCCCTTGTCTCTGACTTAGCCTTCTCCTTCGGATCCTACAAATAAAAACCCAGCAACTACATTAGCACAGGACAGCGCATTTTTCAGCCCAAATACCACATAAATAGACCAAGGCACAACAACCAAAACAAGGAAACACTCTTAAATATAATTTTAGAGAGAGGGTGTCCCAGGGTTAAAGGCTCACAGTTTTAGGCTGCTGGCCCAAGCCTTCTTTGGAGAACGCTTTGGTCTTAGTTTCCTTTTCACAGATCTTAAATCTTTCCATTTCACGCTCAATGAGCTTGCGAGCATCCACCAGAGCCTGCTCATAAGAGGCACTAACCTATGTCAACATATATCAAAAGAAAAAATGTTAAATTCAAAACCAACGAGTTGAATTGAATATTAAAATCCCAAGCAAAGTTTCAGAAACTCATATTGAAGTTACCTCCAAGCACAACACAAAAAGAATCTGAGATATGCAACAGATGGGAAATTGGACAGCAACACTTAATCAAGGGAATACTTAATGGTAATACTTGGCTTTGTGACAAAATACAATGCAATGAAAGATTCCTAAACATTCTGCTAACACAATAAAAGATGTGTTCCACATTACCACAACATACAGGTATCAAACACATCTTTAATTGAAAGACATTTATACATAACTAGAACGTCGCCCCGTGCTTTTGCAAATGAGTTTGAAGTAAGACGCATTATAGAAATATAGATTCTCAAAGCTAACTGCCATAAGACTAACATCTCATTTCAAAAGTCAACTTCTGCAAACAATAGATATTGTAGGCCAACTAAATGATGAGGTAAGTAGTAGTGTAGACTGATGTGCTTCTAAAACCTACAATGTCCCAAATATTATAATCAATTAGGAATCGTTACAATTAAAAGCAAAATAAAAGCATAGCAGAAATCTACAATTTCCAGTTTTTGGCTAGAAACAGGCGTGAGATTATTACTAGTGTATTCCCAAGAAAATTCAACATGCATTATGCTAAGAGACGGCACGAGCTTGTGAAGTTGTGATAAGGGGGAAACTCGAAGACACAAAAGGCACTTGAATAGACCTTCTTGTCCTTGATCTCGCTAGACTGTATCCAAGTCTTAATTTGGTCTCTGTATCTCTGGAGCTTCTTAATCTCCTTCTTCAGGTCTGCCTCAAATTTCTCCTTCTGGTTAGCATTGTCCGTATCATAAACCTGAAGGAACAAACAAAATTAAAACCAACCATTTGTCGAGTCATTCAATTGGACAAGGTTGATGTACAATCCAAATCCCAAAAAGCAGCCAAGTAAACTAGAAAGAAGGATAGTAACTAAGAACCTTGTTCCAGATACTATCGAAGACTTCAACACCTTCTTGGACCTTTTTAAGAACGCGATCTATCTCGCCCTGAAGCTTTCGACTTGCGCCCATTCTGCTAACTCAATCCAACGAAAATGTTGTCCGTAATCTAATCATGCAATCGCGAAATGCACAACGATCAATTGCGGTCGTAGTCTTCTAGGGTTTCACTTACACTGAACTTTTTCAACTTCTCGGGGAAGAGTTAATACGATCAGGAAAGAACGTGGCGATAAAACGACGATTTATTTGGGGGTGTGTGTGAGCGTGGTTTTTTTTTTTTTGGTTTTGAATGAGTTATGTGTTTTTTTTTGTCCCGGCAGTTGCTTATATAATTTTTTTCTTCTTTTTTCTCTGTTAATTAATGCAGCAAACATGACAATTTCTCAAACCTGTCCTTTATAATGATTGGACGTTCAGCGCAATTCGATGGTAATAATTATTTTAAAATTTAATGAAGTAAATTGTTTATATAAAGTTTTAATAATATTTTAATATTGGGAAATAAGTAAGCAACCGAATTAAAAAAAATCAATGAAACATCTTGTTTAAAAATTTTAATAACTAAAAAAACTAGATTCAAGTATTTATACTTTCTCTGTGTGAAATACTATAAATAATAGTACTTTTAGTACTACCTCCAATCTACTCATCAAAAAAAAAAGTACTACCTCCAATCTTTAATATAAGACATTATTTGACTTTTATTTTGGTCTTAAATATAAAACCCTAATTCACTTTTTCTCTTATAGTTATATATTTTTTTTCAAAATAGTCTTTTTAATAATAGTAGTTTTAACTAATACACTTGATTAATAAGGATATTTAGGAAGGACAACACCTATCTATTATAAATAACTAACTTGATTTATTTTCTTAATTTTCTCAAATTAGTCAACTAGCTTTTATAATTAGTATCGGAAGTAGTATATGAAAACATATCAGGTTTAAACGGGAATTTTTTTAGCAATTTCACCTTGAATCAATCGACTGTTCCTTTCTTTGTTTTTTTTTTAAAAAAATTTTGCATTAACTTACAGATTGTAGATGGACTGGGCAAGCCTCTAAGAATGCAATCGGAAACTCTCCTCTTCTCTCTTTTTTTCCCCATAACTATTGGATTGACATATTTCAACAGTTAAGATTTTAATTTTTTATAAACTATTTATAAAAATTTTAAAAATATTTAGTGTATTTGTAAACCATTAGAATAAAGTTTGTAATTTATTATTTATTTATTTTTATAATTTAATATTTTAATAAGAATTTTAAAAAGTTTTAAATCTCAGCTATTGAAATATTAATCCAATAATTAGAAAGAAGAGGAGGAAAGAAGACAGGTTTCGAACCGCTGAGGATGGCGGGCCAATGCTCTTTTGTGACATGTTCATAGTTTTTAAGCCTTGTCCTTTGACAAATGTCCATTTTCTCAATCTGCTGTGCATTCCTTTGTGAGCATTTTCTTTTCCTGTGCTTGATTGAGATTAACTTCTTTGTATTAAAAAAAAAAAAACTTCTCCATTAATTTATCAGACAATAGCTGAGATGATCAGAATTTGCTCAATCAATATATAATCTCTTGGTAACATATACTTCCTAAAAAAGACTGCAGGCTTTTAATTTTTTAAGGATTTTTTTAAAAGTTGAAGAGAATAAATCGTTGAAAGATAATTCGCTAATTCCTGGCATTCTGACACGATCATATATTGTGAGCTGGTTCTAAAAGCAAAATGAAGTTAATAGCAAGACTTTTAATTTTAGAAAACTGAAAAATAAGGATGAATCAGAATCTGGGGCGCCAAGCACTCAAGTAGAAATGTAGAATGTCCTAATTAACTTTTTTTTGTTTTTTAGTCGGGGCAAAGCAGTAATTAACTTTAGACAACTCCAAATACAGACAGATCCATAAAGCTGTGATGGATAATCAGGTGGGTAAGCCGGCAAAATCATAAAAGTGAAATTTAATTTAGCCAAAAAGAGAAGCAGGCTGCAAATTTACCATCCAATGTAATAGAGTGAAAAAAAAAAATGATTGGTAGAAACTCTAATCTAAAACTATCATTAACTAAAAAAAACAGGTTATTATAAATTAAAACCACTGCATGTCATTCTCTACCTACCTCAGCCAAACAAATCCAAAATGATGCATTGATCATGCCCAGATAATAACAAAGCTCTCATTCCTGCAGGTACGAACAATATAATCTTCAATAATTCTTCGTCTGAGAAATATTGTGAAAAATCATGGAGGGTGGCGGGCGATGGTGCAACACGTGCTCTAACATGGTGAACCCAATGAGGGAAGGAGAGAACAAATGCCCAGTTTGTGGGTCAGAATTTACAGAGGCAATAATGGAGAGTCTGAGATCAGAGCATAACGAAGGCAGCGATTTGATCAGATCAGCCTCTGTATTCTCTCTTTACGCGCCAATATTACTGGGCTTGATGAGTGCTCTCAGACCTGCTTTAGCAACCGTCAGCAATAATAACAACATCGATGGTTTAAGTTCAAGGGAGGGGGAAGACGACGAGCAAGAGGTGGAACAGCGCAGTGACCTTGTGGTGAGAAGAAGAAGGCGAAGAAGAGCATCGTCCACTTCTCTCATGCTGGTCTTTCGTCGTGTCCACGATAGGACGGGCCAGCCAGAATCTGATCAGAATACTAACACAGAAAACAACCATAGAAACAATAACGGTGGTGATAGCAATAATAACGTGAACCTCAACGTGGTTGTGATTGATCCGTTCAACGAAGAGGCTTTGATTCTGCGAGGTCCTTCACTGATTAACAACGCTACGAGTACTACTCCGTTGATCGAGAATCCGATGGGGTCTCTAGGTGACTTTCTGGAGGGGCCTGGGTTTGGGTTGTTGCTGCAACATTTGACGCAGAATCATGAACCTAATAGATATGTGAATAACGTGAACCCGCCGGCACAGAAGGCGGCGATAGAAGCAATGCCGACGGTGATCACGGTGGAGAACATGCGGTGCATAATATGTTTGGAGGATGCAGAGATTGGGAGTGAAGTGAAGGAGATGCCGTGTGGGCATAAGTTTCACAGTGACTGCATTATCTCGTGGCTGAAACTTCGGAGTTCTTGCCCGGTTTGTAGGTTTCAGATGCCGTCCGACGCTTCCAAGGTTGAAGTCAACGGTGGACGTCGGAATGAAGGCGATCCGAGCAATGATCAAGTGATGGATAGAGAACAGAGGATGAGTTTTGGAAGAAGGAACTGGCTTTCCATATTGCAGCCATTCGATTACTTTCTTCCTTCTCCTTGAAGAAACAATTCCCTCTCACATTTAGGACGTAATGTTCATAGATGAACTTTTTAGGACGACTTGGATGTCAAAGCTTTTATTTTCTTTATTTTTTTATTTATATTTTGCCAACAAGTTGAATGTCAAAGCTTTAATGAAAAGCTTACAGTTAATAAATAGTTTTTATTAATAAAGAACCTGAGAGTTTATGTATTCTTTTTATATTTTATTCAAGTATTTATTGATTAAAGATATCCAGGTCATGTAGCTTATAAAATAAGTTGACATCATAATGAAACTAACGAAGCAAGGGACAAGAAAGGAATGTGATCCGAAAGTTCTATGCACGGTGAAAAACCAACCTCTGGCTCTTTATTTGGTGTGCTCACATATGTATAAGAGTTGCAGTATGCAATGAACAAAACAAGAATGCGTGAAAGCCCCTTGAAACATGAAAAACGAATCCTGTGATGACATTGGTTGCCGCAGGGGCATTCTTCTTTTGCAAAAGCCACATTCTTTTTTCTTTATTTTTTTTTGTTTTTGGTCCTTACAGAATCTTTTGTTGCTATGTCAACTCGTTTCTCTGCAACTCACGTTTAGTTAGCTCACCTCTTTGTTCCAGTTCTCTTACCCCTGGGGAATCGCATTCTCCTGATAAAGCATGCAGTGTAACATAAAGGTCTTGAAGATTATCTCATGGCGGAGAGCCGTTGCTTTCAACAATCTGTAACGATCTCTTATCAGAATTTCCCTCACAAGTATGAATCAAACAGAGCATTTTTCCCAGACGGAAAGAAATTAAATCAAATAGACTAATTAATATTATATCAAGAGAGGAGAGTCTCATATCTTGAACTGTCTTTTATGGTGATTAATGTGAACATAGGTTGGTGAAAAGAAATGACCATTGAATCAATCCAAGCTAAGGCCTCAGCCACTGAAAAGCAAGCATTAAACTGGACAAACTTGTCATGAAATGCCAAACTGACAATGCTTAGTCATAACTGATTAAACTGTCTTGAAAGGAATCCGCCTACAGTTTCTAAAGGCAACAGCTTAGTGGGCAGAGGGAACCCATTTTTCGTGGATCTTAGAGAAAGAACAATTAAGTTCCTGATTTGAGAATCACATCTGTCAGGTTTCTAGTTTAAGATTCCTTTTCCATGCCATGAAGTGCACTTAACTGGCCCCCTAACATTATGGGGAATAACAATAATGTCAATCTGTACTTCTATTTCAGCCAATGTCATTTCTTGGTGGTCACGTGATTAAGTACGATGAGTGTCTCATCATTATTTTGAGTATGATTTCCAGTAACTCCTTGAATAAGCTTCAACTCTTGACATTTCTCACATCCAAAGGTGTGTATATATTCGGGACTTGATGGAATTATAGAAAGTTGCATAAAAGGAAAGCCAACTAAAATCTAGTCCTGAACGGAACAATATTTACAGAAACAGTTTGCCAAAGCCTATAAAATCATTTTCAAAATGTTGGTACTTTCCTGGATCCAAGAATATTTAAGAGAAGTTAGAGCTGTTAAAAAACATCAAAGACATGTACTTTATGTAAGCTTACCATAATTTGCAAGATCCATGGGTTCTGAAAAGGTTTATCTTAAATCCTCTGATTCATTGTATATATGGTGAAGGTAAGGTATAGACTGTTGTTCATGTAGGAGTCCAGGACCCTAAAATACACTTTCAAGCACTAAATGCCCTTAACTTTCAATCTAATATATATATATATATATATATATATAGACACAGAGAGAGAGAGAGAGAGGGCAATGAAACAACTTGTCTCATCATGATACGAAATTCTAGCATCAATAAAAGTAATAGTGGTTTTAATAACCATTAAATTGGTTGTCAAAAGACGTGAATTATTGGTTGTCATTGCAATACAATATTCCTGATGTGGTACCAAATCAGGTTTCTTGCTTAGTTGAATCTCACTTACATGAAGCCATACGACTAAGCTTTTCTGATTTATCTTGTCAATGCTTGCTTTTGCTATTTCCTCTTAGTTGCCGAATAAGTTCTCAGGAATCAGAATCAATTGATGTCCCAAAGAGATACATTAGAATCGATTTCATTTTATTCCTTTTTGCTCTTACTTTTGGAAATTAGCTCTTTCAATTTTAAAATAGCTACACCTGATTGACCTGCTGTCTTGCATGTCTACTCAGTTATCATGCATGTTCTTATTAATCAATAAAACCTACTACCTTCGATCTTTAATATCAGACCTTGTTTAACTTTTATTTTGGTCCTAAATATAAAATCCCAATCCACTTTATCTCTCATATTTATACATTTTTTTCAAGATAGTCCTTCACCAATACACTTGATTAGTAAGGATATTTTAGAAAAGACAATACAAATTTATTACAAATAACTAACTTAACTTCTTTTCTTAATCTTCTCAAATTAGTCAACTAGCTCTTATAATTAGGACCAGAGGTAGTATTTTTCTACATATTGGGAATAATAGTAAGTGGTAGAATTTATTCTGCACTAGTTGTTGATCACATAAATGATTCTGTGCTCTAAAAACAATAATTCTTGGTTGTTAAATACATGGATTGCATTGCAAATAAAACAGCATAAGCATAATCGACTAACAACTGACACATGTTGGGAGGCATAAATCCTGAAAATGAATCAAACCAAACTATTTTTCAACAGTTCCTATTAGTTGGCCAAATTAGAGCACACGATGCACACATATCGATTACTTTGCTTCAGAGTCTGCTATCTTTGTACATCTGAATTCATGTTTTTGTGACCTATTTGCAAGTTTAACAATAGTATGTATGAAATTTTACGTCTGCAGGTTTGTGAGTTCAACGGCACTACAGATTTAGAAGACAAACTGAAATTTCAACCGAAGCACGAGTCTAGACAACTGGTAATGGTCTATATTATTCCATAGGCCAATGTCTTAGATAAAAAGCAAGCATGAATGTCAAGTTTAGATGATACATTCGCACGTTTTTCTTTTTGTCACTTGGTCCCGTCTAAGCCGGTTGGACCAAAAGAATTGGATCCTTAGTTTTATTCTATTCTTTGTGGTCTACATATGCATCAAACTTATCAAAAAAAAAAAACATAAAAAAAACTAAATTCTTGTTTTATTCTTTTCTTTGAAAAATCTCCAAGGACTTTGAGAAGCATCTCTCCACCGTTATTCTTTTTCTTGAATGTATCTGTCAGTATCCATTTCTTGGTGCCCCAGTCATAAGGAATCTTCTTTTCTATATTCTTTATAACATGACCAGTTATTGCATTCGTTTGGAAGCCTTGCCAAATCCTTCGGTTTAGAATACATTCACCCAAGCCACATTAGTAGTATTAATGATGTTAGTAAATTAACTATCCAAAGAGAGTGACAAAGACTAATGAGTGCAAGAATCTTCGATGAGGAAAAAGGAGGTAAAGTGTGGTTTTTGATGCTTTGAGGGAAAGAAAAAGTTTAATTTGTGATTCCAAACACAAAATTCTTCTTTGAACTTTTGGAATGAGGTTCTTGCCTTTACCAGAAGGACAAAAATATATGCAGGCTTAAGCAGATACAAGTTGATAGGTCAATTTTAGTACCAAATGCAACGTTTGAGGTGTCTCAGAAAGTACAGTGAACATAATTTCATTGGGAAGAGTTTCCTTTAGAAAGTGAAAGTGGAGAGAGGTCATAATAATTTTCAAAGAAACTCCGAATATCGTATGAAGTTTAGCTCTGAATTGCTTTTGTACAAGATTCTATGCTTCACTTGGTGCCCCTTATGTGGTCATTTGCTTTATAAGGACATCTCTGGGTACAACTGAGGCATGTGAAAATCTTGTTGGGAGAGAAAAAAATCGTACAGAGCTGTTGTGGAAAACTACTCATATTTGAAACCTCAAAGGAATAGCATTTGAAAAATACAGCACAACAAATTCCAACTCTCAGGGTCTTTGAATCTTCGTCAGGTAATAAGATGATCTTCATGAACTTAATTACTGTTTGTGCTTCTGGGTAGATTAGTAAGATGATTTTGTTCACAGAAAATAGAGAATGTACTATCATCAGCAACAACAAGCAAAGAACATTCATTCTTTAACGATGTCCAACCCTCCTGAGAGGCATATGATCGTCCATGGTGGACGTGGAACTGGAGACTCAGGACTTGTCCTCTCAACTGATGCTAAGCCTAGACTAAAATGGACACCAGATCTCCATGAACGCTTCGTAGAAGCAGTTAATCAGCTAGGAGGGCCAGATAGTGAGTCTATACTACTTAATGATTGTGAATTAGAAAATATCATTATTTTAGAGCTGCTCCTAACTACATTGCCCTTGCAGAAGCTACACCAAAAACAGTATTGAAACTTATGGCGATTCCCGGACTTACTCTATACCACTTAAAGAGTCATCTACAGGTACCCTTTTTCTTGTTTTACCTTGAAAGTTCCTCAGATTTTCTAGGATCAAGGTCCTCTCCATTTTGGTCATATTCAGTTGATTAGATTGCTAATAAACACACCATAATGTTATGTAAGTGACATCGTCAGCTTAATTAGGTAAAGAAATAGGAAACACAAGATAAAATTTCCCACTTGTAGATGGTCGGTTGTTTTGAATTATCATCACCCTTTTCTTTACACTGGAAAACCAAAGCATTTCTTTTCTTTTCTTTTCTAAATCTAAGCCTTAAAACCCATTATACCATAGAACCTGCTAAACACCAAAAGTCCAATTTTGTAAAGTTTTCATCCCTTTTATATGTTTAGTTTCTAACCCATTTTGGACAACAGAAATACAGACTCAGTAAAAATCTGCATGGACAGGTCAATAGTGGAGCCTATAGAAACGGTGAGGGAATATTTTTTCTTATCCTTTCTATGTATTCCATGAGTTCCTTGAGAGATGTGTAGAAATTACCTTATATGAAGCATAGAATCCAGAAAAGAATTCATCTCACTAGCTTAAATTGCAGAAGCGGCAGGCCAAATTTATGAGACAAGTGAAGTGCATAC